TTTTTCATCTGATTTTAACCAAAATCTCAGAGGATGTTTGTCTTGACTAGAATAGCTTATGGTTAAAGTATCTTCCCCAAATCTCAAAGAAATGCACAAGTTTTAGTCAATTCATTACCCTTGACACGGGCAAGGATTTCACAATAAGGATACGAGTTAATACGCCCGAGCAGTTTTTAAGTTGTAGAGCGCCCGTAGAACTAGGACTTAACAAGATCCGATTTTTGAATTTTCCTTTATTTAATTTTTAAAAAGCGTTTTTCGAAAAATTTTCAAATTCAATGTACTAATAATTATGAAATATCTAAATTTTTTTATTTCAGCAAAAGAGAAATTTAAAAATTGGAGCATGTTAAGTCCTAGCCCTACATGTCTCCTATATAATAAAAAAAATTATTACTTCCATGTCAAGTCGTTATGGAGAAAAACCTGTCCACGTAAATTGCATGACGAAAAAAACTGGTTATGAGTAAAACGAAAAATAAGTATTAGATATCGGTTTTTCCGAAAATCGCCTGATTTATATATCAGTGTTCAAGACAGGCTATTCATATGTGAACTTAATATTAAGTTTTAATAGTCTCATAGTGATTAGTATAAAAAAGAACTTTACGAAATGCTGATGCAAAGAGAAAGGAGTCTAAAAAGTCAAAAAAGCTTGAAAAAAAGCCATGAAAATTTCTCGAAAAATATGATAGTAGGAGCGAAGTTTTAGACGATAAGTTCGTCAAAATCAATTCATTTTTCGATAAACCATAGATATTCTGAAAGAGGAGACTTCGATACATCTTCCTATGATAAAACTTCAATTTCGACTCGTCTCTGAGAAATTGAATTTTCTGAGGGGCCCTTAAGAGCATTAAAATAATGTACATAAATCAAATTTTTACAAGAAACTAAAATATGCTAACTGATGTCAATTAGCATTAGGACACCTTTGAAGCCTTTCAGTCCCCGATGTAGAAACTATCTTGCAAAGGCAAGTACTAAGCGTACGAAAGGATGTAAAAATTAACTCCTTCAGATAAGGTTAAGTTCGAGGCATAGGTTTTTGTTTAGAATATCTTTTATGTGTCTTCGTTTTCAGTAGTGTTCTAGTGTCAGATCAGTCAAACTTGCAGACTACTAGATTTAGCCACGACGATTGATTCAAACTTTTGGAAGATCCTGATCAAGCCGATCTCGAACGTCAAGAGCTTAAATTGATGAAGTATCATTTTGCACGAGAAAAACTGAGTCGTTTTCTGGTAACTAACAAAACCATGAATAGAAATAATTACTAAGAATTAAAAAATAACTTTCACGAGTCATTGTATCCTCAAAGAAATACAGAGCGATTACTCCACATAACCAAATACCCGCTCATACATTAAGAATATTATTTTGTTTTAGATATCTCCAAGTAAGAAATGGATTTTCTTTTGCCCAATAAATTATACTATGACGATTAACATTGTTCTTGAGTTTGAATGTTGCTTCATCAGACCAGATAGTGCAATAGACAAGATCAGACTCATATTGTTCGAATGTGAGAGAAACATTTCATAAAACTTTATTCGTCAGTCGAAAGAAATTTCGTTAAGCCCATGAATTTTCTTTAGAATGTGATGTGTAGAATTAGAATCTTAAAAGTTCATAAATCCGACAGATGGAGAGTCTTAAAATATATAACTGTGAACTCATATGATGAAATTAATATCTGCAGAATTTTGTCAAGATGAAACAAACTTCATCTCTTGCGATTCGGTCGATGACTGATTCTGATCTATCAGATAGAGGAACGTTAAGTACCGAGCCATTCTAATCAAATATGTTCATCACATCATTTACTATTAATTGAGTAAGAGGTTCGCTCTTCATTTTATAGTGCCGTAGCCTTTGAATTTGAATTATATACTTAAGTCTATACATTTGTTTCCCGATCCAGACTCTTTGTTTCGAACAAGTGGATGTCGAGTTATATCCTATACTTAGTTTTAAATGAATATCTGTGATTTAAAATTTTGTGATGAGGGCTGTCTATTAGAGAAAAAACGAACGCATTATCAACACGAATTTAATTAATGATAATATGTTTTCTGTTTTCTGTTTTAACTTTATAGAAAAGATAAAATCAAACACTTCTATTTTAAACGCAGTACCAGTAAATGAAATGATTTCCCAGTTTGATACAAACGAAAGAGATAATTAAAGTTTTCATTAATAAAATATGATTATTAGACAAAACCCAATGTAAAATGACTATTTTTACTGCAAGAAAAGCAGATAAAATGTATATGTCTGACAGAGTATCCTTCTTGACAATCATACATTAACGAGAACAGATTAGGTCGTCAGTTAGTAGCTTGAAAGTAAAGAAAATCATAACAAAACATTTAAATATTCAGAATTGAAATATCTCTTTTGTCTTTTTTCTTTAATCAAATTGTTCACAACAATAACACAAAAAAAGTGAGGCACAAATAGAAGAAAAAAACCATTATTCCGTTTTTGAATTTTTTCCTAACATATCTTTGCGTACACTAGCATGTGGTACTAGTAAAGACAAATTCTACGCATCATTTATTTTGGTATAAAGCTTTAGATCCTATCGATAATTTCGCAAAGTGAAAACTTCAAATATCCGTTCATCGCTTCTACTAATAAAAAATGATACAGCTCATAGAAGTACTCTCCTTGAAAGGACCAACTTGAATCTACAGTTTGCGTTCATGTGATGAAGAGCAAGTAAGATATTATTATTTCCATCACTCACCGATGTCTTAATGAAAGAGAATAGTCTCATACCTACAAATAATAACAAAAAACTATAGACAAATAGTTCTTCTGATTTTCTATATATTGTGATAAATTTTTTACAACGAAACTAGATTAAAAGTGCGTTTTTTTAAATTTTTTTCGCATCGAACATCTTAGGAGTCACTATCTCAGGCAATTTATCAGCGTTTCCTAATAGCAATCTCCAATTTTGTCGCGGAGGCAATTGTCCAACACCAGAGTACTATTATGAAGCTTTTCGCTTGAACGTCTCGGTAGCTGGCTGGTATGAATTGAAATCGGACAGTAATATGGATACATATGGATATATCTACAATAACAGTTTCAATGTCTCTGATGCAACCGCAAATATAATAGCATACGATGATCAGAGTGGTGGTAACAATCAATTCTTCTTGAAAATTTTTATTGATACTGTAACAAATTACATTTTGGTTGTAACAACATATTATCCAAATACCGCTGGACCTTTTTCAGTAATCGGATCTGGTTCGGAATCTATAACATTTAGGCCAATCAATGTATCAAGTAAGATTTCTATGTATTTTAGAGAACTTTCTCAGTCAAAAACAAAACATAACAAGATGAATATTCACATTTAGTCAGAGTATGAAATAAAGTAACTCAGCTTGAATCAGACGAAAACATTCGTTAAAAAATATGTTCAGCCGTAGGTACTGTTCCCAGATATTTCTTTTCTATTCGCAAAAATTAGCATCGAATTGCATTCTGAAGACAAAAGTGAAGGTTCATTTTTCACAACACGGTTCACTTTTCAATAAAAAAAAAAAAATTAAACATGCATTCCGAAAATATTGTTATCGTACTGCTGTTCCTATTAAGAGCCGCTTTTTGACTACTTTAAAGCTGAAAAGTTCTGGAGAGACTGTCCTACCATTAATGTCAAAAGTACATAAGTGTTTTTTATATTTTGAACACAACAAACAATATCAATTTATATGATTTTGTTACTTGCTTGCGAAAACACTACTTATATGAAGGACAAATATGTTATTTCAGTTCTTTTCTGAATCAAATGATGAATTAACATAGGGTGGGGTGTGGGTGTGGGTGTGGGTGTGGGTGTGGGTGCGGGTGTGGGTGTGGGTGTGGGTGTGGGTATGGATGTGGGTATGGATGTGGGTGTGGGTGTGGGTGTGGGTGAGTGTGGGTGTGGGGTATGGGTTAAAAGAAGAACCACACCCACAACCACACCCACACCCCACACCCTATTATAATGATTACTTGCTTTCCAGATTATCCTTTTCAGTCTGAATGACTTCGACATAATCTCCCGATGCATTTTCTACTTTTTCTTGTCTTACCGAAATACTTGTGCTATTCTCTTTCTCTGTAAATTTTTTCTCAATTGATTTTCTTCTCTTGATTTCTCGCATATGAATTAGTCATATTCTGATGATTTTCAGTAACATGACAAATACTACTAGAAAAAGTTGCTAGAAACTAATCATTCTATTTCTAATCACGGTTTGTAAATGATAAGAGAATATAATCCGTGTCATTAAAAATCCCTAATGTATTTGCCGGTAATCATCGTCGACTTAGAGTAGTGAGTTGAAAGTATATATGTAAAACAAATCAACAACAAAGGTATCACACTTTTTTCTTTGTTAAGAACGTAATTTCGTTAACCATTTGTCTGTAGATATGATGAATCGGTGCTTTATTTACATATTGCATCATCAAAAATACAGGACACATTTCTAGAGAAGGCAGAGCATTATTTTAAAATTCATCGTATCTCTGAAGATATTTCTTGAATAAAATCACTATTTTACTTTATTCTACTTTGGTGTAGAGATAGAAAACCCTATAGATAGAATTATAATCATAGTTTCATTGTACATAATCGCAAAAATGAGATTAAAAAGCTAAAATCAAGATTGACATTATTTTTAATTTCGTTCTGATTAGATACTTCAACGATGATAACTTCGCGTTATTCATCGGCGTTAACTAACGATAGTCCTCAATTTTGTCGTGGAGGCAATTGTTACACACCAGAATACTATTATGAAGCTTTTCGTTTGAACATTTCCAAAGCTGGTTTGTACTACTTTAGAACTAATAGCAGTATGGATACATATGGATACATCTACAATACGAGTTTCAATGCCTTCGATCCGTCTATAAATATGGTATCTATGGAATACCAGGTAGTCGACAACAATCAATTCACTTTGAAGATTTTTATTGATACGATGGAAGATTGCATTTTGGTTGTAACAACATACTATCCAACTAAAGTTGGTGCATTTTCATTAATTGCATTCGGTTTAGCATCAGTTACATTTTCTTCAATCGATATATCAAGTAAGCACTCAACAATTTTTAAAACATTTGTTCTATTTTAAAAAATAACCGTACCACAATGACTCTACTCAAGCATGTAACATAATGAATATAGCAGCTTAGAATAATTTGGTTCCAATGGATTAAAGCTGTCCGCTAAAATCTAAATTGAAGAATGAGTACCTTCCTTGAAAACTTGTTTTCTCGAGAGGTGAAGCAAGCAAGATTTCTTGCTTCACAAAATATTTGACTTTTCAAAAAATAAACTCCGATTCAACGGGAATTTTCGAACGAATTCTTACTCTGATATCCAATTTGCGGATAAAGTCTCGTATTTTTATATAGTTCGAACACAAAAGATACTAGCGCTTCACATGAACTTACATACTTCGAATTGTTCCATTTTACTTTAGACCTGATAATGTATGTTTATAGTTTTCAGACTTTTGAACAAAATATTTCAAATCCATAATCATTTACCGTTTTTCTGCCAACATGGATATCAATCAGAACAACTGATTTTCGTCTTACTCGGTTTAAGTATTGTCTATTTTCTTTTTCCTCTCTCGAAGAATCCCTAGCGGCATGTCTGATTTGATGGCACATGTGTATCAATATGCATGTCAGCTTCCTATTGCTTTCTTTGAGTCCATCTTTATCCTATTTTTCTATCTCTCCATTATGCATCCATAACTCTGTGTGATGCTTTCTTTCGTTCATTCCTTCTCGCTTGTTCGCATCTATAGAAGTATGTTATACATTTGAAGTAATCAAAGTCTGATGATACCTCATAGACAAATAAATATCATAACAGACAGTCGTGATAAGCCTCTTATACATTTTCTTGATGCATCGTATCAATAACAAGACAACATACGCTATGTTCTAAAGTAGTCTGTACTTCTATAAATCTTCAATCACTTTTGATTTGTTAGTAATACATAACTTAAACACATATGTGTAAATCAGCCAGGCGATAAATCGATCGTAGTTTTACTCTTTTCAGAATCAAATGACTTGATATTGTATTTATTCGATTGCCTACACCTAAAAAAAAAAGATCTTCCTATGGTTTTGCAATTGTAATACATGTTCGCCATAGCTCTGGCAATATCTCTTGAATAAAATCACTATTTTATTTTATTCTATTTCGTTGTAGAAATAGAAAACACGATAGATAGAGTCTTTATCATAACTTATAGTATATAAACGTAAAACGAGATTAAAAAGCTACATCAAGACTGGCATTCTTTTTAATTTTTTCTCTGTTTAGATACTTCGATGATGATAACTTCGCGTTACTCATCAGCGTTAACTAATGATAGTCCTAAATTTTGTCGTCGAGACAACTGTTACACACCAGAATACTACTATGAAGCTTTTCATTTACTTGTCTCTACAACTGGATCATATTCTTTTCAATTTATCAGTGGTTTTAATACATATGGTTATATCTACAATAATAGTTTCAATGCTTCTAATTCGTCGGAAAATGTAATAGCATACAATTATGATGATGTTGACAGCAATCAATTTCTTCTAAACATCTCTATTGATACTATCACAAAGTATATTTTGGTTGTTACAAGTTATTCTCAAAATGTAACAGGACCGTTTTCAATAATTGGAACTGGTATAGGAGGAATCAGATTTTCTCAAATCAGTGCATCAGGTAAACACTCAATTCATTTCAAAGAGATTCTTTGATGAAAGAAAGTAATCATTACAAGATGCATCTATAAATTAATCAAGGGTGTTGTATACAATAGGATAAAGTCACTCAGTTTGGATGAAATGAAGTTGTTCATCAGAAGACTTACGGTATGAAGTAATTTCCTCAGCAAATCAGGATTTTTAAGTCAAAGTAATTTCTTTTATTCTAAGAATGTGGAATGACATTGTTTTCTATCAGAACATTGAGCTTTTCGAGGAAATGTCTAGTCTGTCAACCTACTTTTCGAGAATTTTTTTATGATTTAGCAAAGACTTTCAGTTTTAAGAGAATTGCATTATCAGTTTTCATGAATGTTGATGTGAACTCACAACATCTACCTCGTGCTTGCAAAAATTTCACTGGAAAGTGAATAGAGAATAAATCCATTTGATTTTTTTTGTAATTTGTATGAAAGAGTTCATGGCTATACTTCGTGATCGTTTCTCTCAGCTGATTTTTTACAAGCTGGAAAGGATAATATTTATTCGAGATCCAGCTCAGAGGACCTTAACATTACTGAGACTTGTTCAAACATAGCTATCATCGGAAACATGGCGAATCCTTTGTATCTTATACAAGTAATCTTTAAATGGCTAAAATTAACTCGTTATGAAAGTTTCATTCTGTTATAACACGAATTAAAAAACATAAGGTAGAATTCATGTCTATCATGAGAATATTGTTCTAAAACATCTAGATTCCACTTTAAATTACGTAAACACGATTTCTGTTTAAATAAGCTGCACCCGCTTTTTCAGTATCTCAATATATCGATGTATTCTTTCTATCATCTAAGTCAATGAATACTATTCTTCAGTTTTAATAAAGAGTCTATGCAATTCTCTTCAGATATTAATTATTCAAGTTTATAATAAATACTTGGAATTGGAAGTGTCTCAGAAATATCTTGCTCCTTGGCTAGTTCATGAGTTACGGCAATGAATATATGTTTGTGCTAGGTAGAGTATATTTTCGACTATACTTGCTCCTTTTCATTGTTCTTTAATAAAGGAACAGAGCAGTGGCGGCGGAGCCTGTAGGCTAGGTGAGGCTTAAGCCTCACCTGATTTTGGCTCCTGTAGGCTCAGCTTCACCGAAATTTTGAATTTGAAGTTTAATCGTTTCTATATGGCTTCAAATTTTTGTATAAATAAAATTTTACTTTACTGTGAAAATTAATATCTGGTAGGGGAATCTTCGTGAAGCTACCCTTCCCCCTTGGTCGGGATATCCGGGACATCGAAAGCTACCAGGTTCCACGATGTGCCGGGGGCTAGTCCCCGGCACTTTTTAGCGTGTCTGCAAAATTTTTAGTAGCGATCAGAATTGTCAGGTTTCTGGAATTGGAAGGGACTGGCTAGGGCAGAGGTAGTTCAGTACGCCTATGTGAAGACGTTTTTTTTTTATTTTCATTTCTGCCTTTTGGGAAAGTTGCGGGACATTTGTGAGTACTGTCTGGGAAAAATTATTAGCCCCCGACACTTCAAAACAATCGAGAGCCCTGAGAGCTACCCCCCCCCCCCTCCCTGGTCATTATTTCAAGAAAAAGAAATTCTTTTTGTTTGTCCAGGACGTTCAGAAAGAAGGTCAAAAAATGCGATTTTTACCTGGACGTGTCTGCGAAATTTTTAGCCCTCCCCCACTCTCTAAAACAATCGACAACGCTGGAACTGAGCCTCACCTAATTTTGAGACCTTCCGCTGCCCCTGGGACAGGGCGAGAATATGATAATGCCGCTCGATAACTCTCATGCAGTTCTTTCTGCTGTCACGCTGTTATAGCAAAACAGAGAGGAAAAAATAAGAAGATGTGCAGTGTCGACAGTAAAAACTAGACATGTAATCGCTAAGTTGTCAAATGTTTTGGTCCTTATGTTTAGTATGTGGCTAGTCAATATGTCCGAAAGTTATTGAGCTTTCGGAACTACTTCGAGTCAGTATTCTATAATACAAAGTATCTGAAAGATAAGTTCAACTTTTGCTTCCAAAAGTTGTTAGTCTGAATAAAAAAAAAGACACCATACGAGAAAAAATTGACTATTTTGAACAGAATCAAATTCGTATTCATACAGATCGAGGCTGAAATTTGAACCAGTTTTACATTCGTGAAAGATAGAAAAAATAAATGCAACTTATGCTCTACACACTAAACTTAAATGCGTCGTGTTTATGTGTCGTGAATTATTGTGTCATGCACTCCAGCACAAAAATGTGTCGTGCTTAGAATGCGTCGTATACGAATTTGTCGCGTTCTGTCTGCTATCTATTCGTTCACCCTTTTGTTGTGCAGACATAGTGAGATATAAACAACGTGGTTGAACGTAAGAAAGATAAATTTTCCCAATATTTTTTTTCTAAATTATTTCTCGATTTTTTTTTGTCGAGACAATGCCAATCTCGATCCATGATCGAGAAAGGACTACCCTGAAGCGGTCTGATGCAAATCAGACCAACTCGAGTTATGACAGATCCCAGGATCTGACCTGCTTGAGTTTTCAGAATAAGAATAATTAAATTAAATTAAATTAAATTAAAAAACAAATCGAAATATGCTTTTCCAAAACAACCAACAGAAAAACTGCCGCATGTGTCGTACAAAATGTGTCGTACAAAATGTGTCGCACAATGTGTTGCAAATCACGACATATGCGACACATTTTAACTTAGTGTGTACGATACCCATCATCTTAAGAAAAAATGTTTCGTGAAATTTTAGAAACTGTTCCAAGTCTTTTCTAAACGATCGAACTATGTTAGTGGATAGAATCTGCACTTCTGCTAACCACTAAAGGTTATTGTGAGAGAAAACGTATATTTTAGATTGAAGAAATCTCTTGTCGAGCAATTTCATATATCTTTCTTGTTCAACAAAAAGAAACAGGGTGTGTTGTGAGGGTCGATAAAGTAACGAATGGAACTACATTCGCATGCACACCACGATTCACTAGGTTATATGCCACTGTTTCTGTTTCATCAAGGATCTTCAGAACTAAAATATAGATGTGAAGCTCAGAAGTCCTATCCAAGCATTCTTTTGCTCATTTCAATTCTTCTATTCATTCATAAACTTATCCATAGGAATTTACTATCCAAATAAAAACACTTTGTTTAGACGATGGACATCACTTTAAAGTGTTCTTGAAAGTTTTACTATAGGACTGAAGAAGAAACACGTTTATTCATCTCCTCGTTTGATAGGACAAAGTCTTCAAGAGAAAAAAAACGAGACGTCCTATTCTAATAAAGTATCTAGTGCTTCCATTCTTTCACTATTTATCAAAAAATGCATGACTTCAGTGATTACTTTCGATAAATGAGAATATTTCTTTCCTTGTATAGTATTTTCCATTTGTGAATGAAATCTCTTTAGAAATAATGACAATTCTTTTTCGTAAGTGACTATGTACACTCGAGTGTACATAGCCATATGACTATATGCACTCAGATAGCGACAATCAATTAATTGAGGATAGAGTGTAGGTGACGAGGTATAGGCGAGCAGAGTATGGATAAGAGGAGTGTGTGGGTGTGGACGTGAATAGATGAGCAAGGTAACTAAGTTTGGGGAGTAAGTATAAGTACGGGAGAGATTGTGGATGTGAGTGAGGAGTTGATGTGGATACCTCTATACATATATATTTCATAGATCTCAAGAATCACCGCTACACTCACTCCTGCACTCATCCGTACTCTTTTTTATTGACATTTCATCCCTACACTGTCCTCACGCATATATCCATACTCTCTTCACTCTCTTCACTCTCTTCACTCTCTTCACTCTCATCCACACTTACACCACCACATACCACTTACCCTCCTCACTCTAATTCTCACTCATACTTTCCTCACTCTCACTCACATCCCACCCACTCCTCATACACTCGATCCACACTCTTCCCTTAGTTAATTGATTACCCTTATCTGAGTGTACATAGCCATGAGACTATGTGTACTCAAGTGTATATAGCCACTTCCTTCTTTTTTTTTCTTTATCGTAGCGACTCCTAGTATTCCAGCTGATGCTCAATGGAAACAGAATGGGGTAACTGCTGCTGGAGGCACTGGACAAGGTAATGCGACCAATCAACTCGACTCTCCTGACGGTCTTCTTCTCGATGGAGATCAAATAGTGTTCATTACTGACGTTAATAATCATCGTGTCATTCAATGGAATATTGGTGATACGAATGGACAAGTAGTCGCTGGTAATCATGAAGCAGGAAATCGAATGTATCAATTGTATGAACCAACAGATGTGTTGCTCGATAAAGAGACGGATAGTTTTATTATTTGTGATTCGCAGAATCAACGAGTCGTACGATGGTCTCGTCGTAAAGGCACGACCCAAGGAGAAGTTCTTATCGGCAATATCCGTTGTTGGGGATTAGCCATGGATGATCAGAGATATCTCTATGTCTCTGATACCCTAAATGATGCAGTAAGACGTTATCGATTAGGAGAGAAAATTGGAACTCTTATAGCTGGTGGCAATGGGAAAGGCGATGGTCTCCATCAATTCAGTCAACCAAGTTACTTGTTCATCGATCAACAACAGACAGTCTACGTATCAGATTCCAACAATCATCGTGTGGTGAAATGGAATAAAGATGCAGAAAAAGGTATTCTCGTTGCTGGAAGTGGAAGCCAAGGAACTGATATGGCACAACTGGCTTTTCCTTACGGACTATTCGTCGATACATTAGGTACTGTCTATGTTGCAGACTCTGGCAATGATCGAGTAATGCGTTGGCCTCAAGGAGCGAACCAAGGCACTGTTATTATAGGCAACAATGGTAGAGGAGACGGGCCAAACCAGTTTAATGGTATCGGTGCTTTAGCCTTCGATCGGCAAGGCAATCTATATGTTGTAGATTGGAAGAATCACCGTGTTCAATGCTTTGTAATTCAATAAACTAAAAAAAACTATTTATATGTTTTTCTTTGTTCTGTTTTCTCTTTCTCAAATAAATATTATTAATTTTAAACCATCGCTTGATACTTAGCCTAGTCGCCCACGCATATATGACCAACAAGCACCTTGAGAGAGTCTTTACGAGCTTCAAGCTCGTGCCATGTGTTTGAATGCATCGAGAGATGTACTCATGAGTCTACAAGGTTCGTTCGTGTACCACGGACGCCAATGCAGGCTCTGATCGAGGATTTAGAGCCTATTCAAAAGATCTTCAAGATAACGGGGGTCTAATCTCAACGAGCATAGTCTACCATCACCAATTCTTTTATCTTTCTCTGAAGCAAGAAAACAAAGATACCTTTTTGGATCCTGTTTGATCACGATCCAATGATATTGAAGTTTTAAAACAAAGAATACAATTTTTATCAATCATGAATACCTAAATGAAAGAAAAAAATCATTCAGCGTTTGTCTGCTTCTTGGATATTTAAGATCTAATATTAAACAAAAACAAGAAAAACTTCATAGCAATTTCATCGATCATCATGACCTCAACCATATTCACAAATTAAATCAATAAAAAAAATGAAGGTATCGCTTCAATATATTTGCTTTGTTTTTTCAAAATCATTGGAAGTATGGTAAGACCTCCTTCAATCATTTTAATTAATATTTTTTCGTTTTTTCATCATAAATAGTGAGCAATGAAGAACAAGATGACCGTTTAGTCTTTCCTTCTTATGTAAAATCAATTAACTAATTTTTGTCTTTGTTTCATTCTTCAGCATCGAATAGGATGAAGAATTATTTCTTTTTCTTTGCAAGATAAAAAGCAGGAAGATATTAAACCAGTAAGGGAAAAGTGACTCAAATTTGTGCAGATTCGATTTCTGCCATCTTCTAGATCTTCGGAATAGACCCTACTAAACCCTCGATCAGGATCCATCTTAGTTGTCTGTGGTACACAAGCAGACTTCGTAAACTCATGGATACATGTCTCGATAAAGTTATATAAATAATAGCAGTGTCTCGTAGGCGTGCATAAGCGTTGGGCACATTGGAGTAGCATCAGTATGGGTCCAGTAACGTGTCTACGTGAATGAATTAAACACGAAACAATTTTTTTAATTAATCACATTTTTTTTAGTGAGAGAAAAGAAAACAAGAAAAAAAAACTGGTATTTCAGGTTGATTGAATTGTGAAGTTTTGAACACGTTGATTATTTTGGTCTGAGACATAGAGATTGCCGTAGCGATCGAAGGCCAAACATTCAGGATGATTCAACTGATTTTCATGTTTTCCTTCACCATTTCCGCCTATAATAATAGTACCTTGTGTTGCACCTTGAGACCAACGCATTACACGATGATTTTCATAGTCTGCCACATAAACAGTACCATATGTGTCAACGAATACTCCTCGAGGAGAGGAAAATTGTGTTAGATTACTTCCTCGACCTTGACCTCCAGCGACAACAATTCCTTCTGTTGCACTTTTATTCCATTTCATCACACGATGGTTGCTAGTGTCTGATACGTAGACAGTTTGTTGTCGATCGACAAAGAGATATTTCGGCGATTGTAGTTGATTGAGACCAGTTCCTTGGCCATTGCCACCAGCTACAATGGTGAAACTCTTCTGGTCCAATGAGTATCGCCTTACTTGATGTTTTCCGTATTCAGAGACGTACAAATATCTCTGATTATCCATGGCCAATCCACGACACTGGACGTTATCGATCAAAATTTCACCTTGGGTGGCATTACTAAGACGGGACCATTTTACGACTCGTCGATTACCCCAATCGCATATGATGAAACTATTGGTCTCTTTATCTAATAATATGTCGGCTGGATCAGCAAATTGATCTAATCCACTACCACTGCCATGACCACCAGCAACGATTTTTCCATTTGTATCATTCAAGTTCCATTGAACTATACGTTGGTTATAGCTGTCGACGATGAACACCTTTTGATTTTCATCAACGAAGAGACCCATAGGAAAGTAAAGTTGATCACTAGCACTGCCAAGTCCATGACCTCCAGCAACAGTCACTCCATTCTGTGACCATTGGGCGTTAGGAGGAATATTAGGAATCGCTAAAATGAAAAAAGAAAATGAAAAGATATCATAATGGTCGTCATTATTCAAAAGACTCTTCTTCTCGGAAAAGATTTCTTTGCCAAGCGTTCTTATTCTGGTAGACACTGTAAGGGAAAAACAGCTCTTCTTCTATCTTCAAGAAATTGAATCTATGATAACACGGTTTATTGTTTTAAAATGCTTTATAAAAGCAGTTTTAAACCGTACAAAAAATCCTTTTTTCAGACTTGTTATAGAATGTAATCGTGTACACGTAGCTATCAGAAGAATTTTATAAACTTATGGACACTTCATTCACTCTTAACTTACTAGATAGAAACTGTCGAGCACGAAAAAACTAGGTACAGAGAGTCTTGGTTAGTGGAAGAAGAAACCTTCGATCTAAATAAAATCCGTTTTTTTTTCTTGAATATCGTGCTTTTAATTCTTGCTTATCATATTATAGAATAAAGTCTTGACTAATCTAACAAGATTATTTCGTCTTCAATCATAATTCTAATGAATAAGAAGATCTTTTCTTCTTCCCAATCATTTTCTACCTAAAAGTTTTGACTCAAATTAGAATAGTATAAGTTGGGAAGATTCAACAGTACTACATTAGCTATTTAGAGATGAATGATAAGATAATTGATCAAACGATGCTTTCATAGTATAAGAACTTTTCTTTAATGTCATAAGCGTCGTTGCTTCATTTAATTCTTATACCGGGTGGGCCAAAAGTAAGGTAGCATAAAGGATGTTCCATAATAATTGATAATAAATTGTTAATGATATTTTTCATACTTTTTATTGAT